TCGAAAATCTTATTGAAGTTCATAGACATTATTATCAATTAGAAGACGAATCTATAGTTTTTAGAATTTTCGTCTGTCTGCCGGTCTGTTTGTCTGTCTGTCTGTGACCACGAACGTCACGTCACATCACGAACAAATAAACAAAAACTGGAGGGATTTTGATGAAATTTGGTATGATGATAGCTGGTTATTCGGCTCAACATATTGGATACTTCTTACTGCGGGAAAATATGTAATCTCTTAGAAATCTATCTACCCGCACTTAGCCAGTGTGGTGTACTATGACCTGATCCTCTTTGTATTGAAGGAAGGCTCGTACCTAGCAGTGGGCTGAATATACAAGTGAAAGAATATAATTATAATACTGAAATCTCTTCTTGTTTTAAAGTCAGTCAAAAAGTTATACAAAACTACATAATAAGTATCTTGAATAAAGCAATTAATAAACATCGTTGAAAATTAATTATGCTAAGAGAAAATTACCTTTCAACGCCTTACATTCTGTCATTTTCATAATGTATGAAGTGTACGCTATAATTATTAATGAGTTTTTAATTACATTTATTCATTTCTTGCTTTTGTCGTTGGAAACAAAATTGAATATTTGTTATTCTTAGATTAAATTTAGTACCTACAATATGCATCACGGCTGTATTGACGTAATTTTTTTTATTTATATATTAGCGACTCACCCTCGCTTCGCTTGGGTTCGTCGCTAGGTACATTTTAAATAGATATAAATAGTTTATTAGCCATCGTTAGCCATATAAATTTTAATAATTTTTTTCGCAAATTTTTCTGATGTTTAATACTTATTATCCTATTCCGGACTAAGAGAAATCCAAAAAATCTAATATCATAAAAATTGGTCCAGCCGTTCTTGAGTTATAAATAGTGTAACTAACATGACTTTCTTTTACATTATATACCTATATTTTCTCTGTAATAAAACTTTTCGTGTACCTTACGGAACATACAAAAAAAATTGCTTAATGGGTCGAGCCGTTCTCGAGATTTGCGCTTAGCAACATTCTTTTTTATTTATATAAATTTGATAAGATGATTTTTGTCTTTGTGGCATTCCGAGCCAAAAAAAACTAAAACGGAACACACGCATAATTTCCACAATCCACAATGATATTCGTCTATCCGTCAATTTTACTACAAGACTATAATTGGAGTTGTGTTGCTTCGTAGTGAGTAGGCAGTAGGTATACGAACCGCTAGACAATTCTGTAGCGAAATTAAAAAAAGTAAAAAAAAGGGCTGAAATTTAATACAATTGTGTTGTGAAAATAAAATTTTAAGCCCACATAATCACGGGGTTATCTTTGAATGGATCTGTAAAATTTAGATAGATGTGTTTAAGTGAGTTTTTTGTTGAAACCGAACTAGTTGTCAAGTTACATATATTTTTATTTTGTAAATGTAAAAAATATATGTTAATTTTTATTTATTTTACCACACACGAGCAATACCGTTGCTGAAAATTAGCTTACTTTCTTTAAAGAAGTAATGCTTCAGAACATTCACTAAGCTTTCTTAATAAAAACCTTTCCTTTCTTAACACCAGGTAAATTTCTAAGAAATTAATTTAACAAATCTATTGTTAACTGTAACGCCGGCGTGTCCGCGGTCGTGGAGGGATTAATAATAGATTAAATATAGCGGGTCGATATTCTATACTTGATATCGCTAATAGAAATCTCTAAGCATTTAAAATGATTTCTAAGCCGGTACTTTTTTAGTTAAAAAATAATATTATTAGTTTTCCTTTAACGATTCCAAACATAGTCAATAATATATATTTTTAAATATACATTTTCCTTTTAACTTAGTTCAGAAATGTTTCAAACACATTTAAGTTAAAACGTGGTTTCTTTAAAAATATCATTCAGTTTTACATTGCAAGACAAAGTGGTTTGCAGTTTGTTGTATTTAGTTGAAGGGGTCTTGTAGAAGAATAGCACTTTACCCGTGTTCCTTTGCAAAAAGAATTATTTTAGTGAAACTTCAACTTTATTGCCACTGTGTTGTTTTCTTTTCTGGCTATATTCTATGTTTGTGTGTATATATATCGTGTTTTCTCTAAAAACTTCATAAGCTTATTTACTCTCTTTAAATGTTTCTTAGCTTATATTTAAAAATGGTAAAAATATTATTTTAATTTTTCTAGTGTTTGTCCAGTGGTCGACATTCGACCACCATTATTGAAAATTTGAGGAAATCGTATATGTTTTTATTTAAATATCTCTATAAAAAAAAAATAAAAAAAAAGCATAAAATTTAAAGCTCGTTAAAAGGTACTAAACAAAACAAAAGAAAATCGGTTGATAAAGGATGGAAATAAATATGGCAGACAGAAACACAAGCAATATTAAAACATATTATTTAACCGACTTAAAAATCAGAGGAAATATCTATTTAAATCGGGCGTAAGTTTCTTTTACATGACGTTTTCGACAATTGTATAAGGATTTTCATGGTTACTATGTTGAATAGATTATACTTTAAATTTGTTTAAATATAAATCTGAATATATATTATAAATCTGATATATACTTTGTACTTTAATATAATGAAGAAAAGTTACAGGAACAGAAAACAACTAAAAGTTTCTGTTTTATTACTGTACGACTATTTTATGAATGTAAGTACTTATCTATAGCAATATAATATTATAAAGAGGCAGAGTTTGTTTGTTTGAACGCGCTAATCTTAGGAACTACTAATCCGATCTGAAAAATTCTTTTTGCATTATATACCCGTTTGTTAAGGAACGCTACAGGCAATATATCATCATGCTACTAACCAAGGGAATGGAGCAGTAATTATAAATGTCAACAAATCGGCTATTTGTAGTTTATATATCGCTAGTAATTTTTATATATACAATCATTATGTAATCTAATATGACTGGAAATCCTTTCTATACAGGTGTTAATTTTCTACACGAGTAAATATCTTCATATTGTACATATAAATATATAAATACAGTACACAAAAATAACTATAACTGTCTATTCACAACAGGAAAAAAATACCCACATTGACAAAATAACATGAATGTTAGAAGATAAATATTTCTAACGTATCCCGTACATTTGTCAGCTACCGCGTAGCAGTAAAGCTTTATAATATACTACACTCGACGGAAACATTCAAAAAAATATCTCAATGATATAAATCACACTGATGTGTTGCTCCATTTAGCGCTCGCTCTATTTGGGGTTAAAAAGGGTTGATTGCATATAAAACTGGTTAGGGTCTTTGTAGAGAGTTTATCCTGATTTTTTTTATAATGACTTTGAATCTCAAATATATTGGAAAAAGGAAACACAAAATTGATTTACCTTTGACGTCTAATAGCCGTGGAGATCAGATTTTACGAAGCTGTGGAGCCATTTTGTGAAACGCCAAAACAAATACCTACCTATACCATTTTATAGCATACTTATCTTTAATTTTGTACATTCTTATTTAATAGACCAAAAGCTTTGAAAAACTTAAATACCACTTAAAAGTTGACTCTTTTACATTACTCAGATAACAGATAATTTAGTAATACTAAAAGATGAAACATCGGAACATCTGCCGTAATCTATTACCATAATGCTCGTTTTAGGTATATTTTATGAGCGTTTCCTTAAATCAGCACTTAAATAATCATGTTGTCTCGATTCAAGTGGGGTATAAAATCCAATTTAAAGCGATGTCGATCAAAGGGATGCATAACTTGATTGTCAAAATTATATTAAGTCACCTTTGCAGTAATATAAATGCTTAAGGTCTGATCCACACTATAGTGTCGCTGGTTAATTAGTGGAATCTGCACCATTAAGTGCAATTGGTTCAGATGTTCGTGTTCATTGAACGTGATCTTGGGTTTGCCTAAATTATTTCAGACACCGATGGGTCTTGAAGAATTGGCTGACATGGCAGGTGAAGGTCTTGCACAATGAATTTAATGAGAGAAAAATACATTTTTAAACAAAAAAGTGATACGATAATAATAATTTAATATACAAAATATTTTATATTGAAAAAAATAAATATACCTTGGAAAAAATATTTTTCAAAAGATTCGAGAGTAGAATTTGAGAAGCGGTAATTAAAACTATATACCATTTAAAGAACACGAATAGATAATTTTGTTTTATTTTATTTTTTAATTACATTGCCAGCGATCATTGCGAACACTATAACAGGTCTGTTAGTGTCACCATACCTGTCAGTTCTAATAGATCAAACTCAATACAGCGAGATGACTATTATGCCAAAGACGTTGGATAGTACCTAGTAGGGTACTTCTGATAAAAGGTCCGTTATGAACAACAATTTTCTGATAAACTAACCTGGTTATCTGATTACGTCTGTACAGCTATTTATGTTATTTGAGGTTGGCTTTGAGACTGGTAACGTTAGGTGGTATACATAAATGAATTTCAAAAAATTAAAAATTGCATCTAGTAGTATGGTGATAAGCTGAAAAGAAACGAAAAAAAATCATGGTTAGCGAACTAAAAACAACCAGAGACAATATAAAATATATATTAGTCAAATAAATATAACTTGTTTCACTTAATCTATACTTATAAAGAGGTAAAGTTTTGTGAGTTTGCGAGTTTGTGACGTCGTAGAGCAAAATCTCTGGATCTACTGAACCGATTTAGATGAATTTGGTAAGAAGATAGTTTGAGACCCTGGGAAGGACATTGGACTTTATACCCCGGAAATCATCCCTTAAGGGAGTGAAAATGGGGATGAAAGTTTGTATTGGGAAGCAAGCTAGGAACGAACACGAGCGAAGCGAGGGTGAGTCGCTAGCATATTAAATGCTTGTGGAGTCTTCTTATATAGTATGGTGTGATAAATTTGTTTCTCAAAGGTCCTCCTGTTCTCTCGTCCTGTCTTTTTTCCTGCTAATATAAAAAAGTGCAAAAAATATATGAATTATCATTGAAAATATATGAATTATCATTGAAAATAAATTATTCCAGGTGTACTATGCCTCGAGTGAAGAAGTGTTTAATTTACATCGGCGTAGCAGCATTTCTACACCAGCTACCGCGCTTCTTTGACCACCAGTATGTGCCGCATGTGACCGTGTGGCGCGGCCACTTCGAAGAAGTTTGTTCGGTACATGAGTATTATATTTTTTTATTTAGTTTCTATATATGCTTTATTTATCTTTATCCCTATGCTTTATCTTAATCGAACAAAAAAAAATTATAAATAATTCCGTGAGTTTTTTTTAAATGGTCAAGTTTTAATTGTAGTCGTATTTTTCTCGTCCAGTTTTCGTATAAATTCGGTTTGAACAAGTTCGCACTCGCCGTTTGTTAGCGACCGCTGAGATCGAAAATGATATCAAAAATATTATATCGGCAGTTCAACTGTAACGTATATTTGAAACCTCTATTTTAGTAAAATTCCATTCTAGTAAAATTCCATTGCATATTTTATGTATTCAAGTTAAACTGCAATATAAGTAATATTGTTTATTGTTCATAGTTGAACTAGCCTTTCCTGTAATTCCGCTCGCGTAGAATATACATGTATAACTATTTCGCTCCAACCATAAAACCATAGCGTAATGCCTTTAACCTTCGCCAAAAGTTGAGCTATCAAATGCAAAAAACATTTTTACTAAGCACAAGCAATAACTATTTTTCTTGTTGCAACATCTAATATAAAACCGCGAAATAATCCGAAAAGATAGTTTTATTTAAAATCTATACTTAACGCTAAATCTATAAAACGCTAGTGTCAAATATTCGCGTAAATCTAAGAAAGTATTACCTAATATATATTAATCCCTCCACGACCGCGGACACGCCGGCGTGTCAGGTAACAATAGATTTCTTAGAATCTTAATTAATTTCTTAGAAATTTACCTGGAGGTGTTAAAATAAATCAATAATCCAAAGTAGTATTTGAGTCATGTATATTTAGAATTTGAGTGAAATTTATTTAAAATGTATTAAAAATATTCATAAAGCTTTGGTGTTGCAAATTAAGTTTACTCAATTAAAAGTTAACGCAAAGGATCAAAGACAAGGAGTGCTAATCAGTTTCATAACGTTATCTATACATAAAATGAAATTGTAACTAAGCCGAATTTGTACATTAAATATTTTTTGGAAAATCTTATTGAAATAGACATTATTATCGATACAAGGCCGAATCTATAGTTTTTAGAATTTTGTCTGTCTGTGACAACCACTTGAGGGATTTGATGAAATTTGGTGATAGCTGTTATCTGAGGCAACATATAGGGTACTTTTTATTGCGGGAAAATATCTCATCTCTGATAAATCTATACAAAACGTTAAAACGTCAATGTATAAAAGTACACTCGTAAAAATTATATTTCCTAGATACATGAGGTATTAAAATATAATTTGTGTTTGTGTTCAAGTACAGATATTCATATTAAAATCGCAATAATTATAGCTAGAATGGCCCATAAATGGCTTGACCCTGCTTGGGAACACGCTAAGCGCAAACAATGGCTAAAACTCTTAACATTAATGTCCTTCCATGCCAAGACGGTCAATCTCTCTGAAACTATCCATGTGTGGAAGATATATTACAGTACACAAGAATACGAGCATACAAAAATCCCCTATCTATTCGTTGTCGTTACATCGGATTTTGACGGTGTTCGATGGGTTGAGGCATGATGGTGAAATCGTAAACTTCCCGACACATAGATGTTACTGAAATTTTCTTATAAATAGAAAACCCAAATAATTATATTTGGCCCCACCCGGGACTCGAACCCAAAACTCGAGGATCTACAGTCGTACATACTAGCCACTAGACTATACGGCAACTATACGGTGTTTTTGTTACTTTATACTTTACACACGAAACTAAAACGAAAGTTACCGCACTTTTTACCTCGTAATGCTGAATAATTGAGCATTTCAAAAAGGTTTAACCTGGTTTTGAAATTTAAATAAATTTTACGATTTCTTTTTCAGGTGAAAATGGCGCCGTGGGTCCACACGCTATCGTTAGACGCGTACTTCATAACCTACTTTGCTTTTCGAGTTTTATTCGTCCACCTAATCCCTTGTACGTCACTTGTAGTACTCAACGTCTTACTTTTCCGTGCTATGCGAACCGCACAAATAAATCGACAGAAATTATTCAAAGAAAACCGGAAATCCGAATGTAAAAGATTAAGAGATTCAAATTGCACCACACTCATGCTCATCGTGGTAGTAACAGTGTTTTTAATGGTAGAAATACCTGTAGCAGTGGTAACGATATTACACATTATTTCTAGTACACTCGTTGAAATTTTAGACTATCATATCGCAAATATATTAATTTTAATAACAAATTTCTTTATTATCGTCTCATATCCAATAAATTTTGCTATTTATTGCGGTATGTCCAGACAGTTTAGGGAAACTTTCAAGGAATTGTTTATTAGAGGCGCGGTAACTACCAGAAATGGCGGCTCGAGCAGATACTCACTTGTTAACGGTCCTAGAACGTGTACTAACGAAACTGTGCTTTAAATTGTATATAAATTATTTTAAACGATTTTGTTGTCTATGTAGTGACATATCAATGATTTTGACAGGTGAAATGGCGCGAACTTTCTGTGGTTTTTCTTTTCATTGTTAAATAAAATTAAGATATTTTAGAATATATTATATTATCTAGGTATATCATAAAAAGTATAATTTTACTATATTGTATTAAAGATACTTTTTAATGACTTTGTGGTAACTTTATCATAAAAAAAATCGTTGTCTATGTATTCTAGTAACTTAAAATGATGAACTGACCATAGAGCCTTTAAATGGCGAGCCCCCATTTATAAAAAGTATCTTTGTAAATAAATTATTTATACAAATAAACAAATAAAGTAGTTTTTACTCATAATAATTGTGAATCATTTATCTGATTTTATGTAAAAATGGATTTTTCTTGTAAATAAATTGTACATCTTTTATTAGTCATAAACATAGATATAAATATATTATGATAATATATAAAAAAATATTTTTTGTTGTAGATGTGGCAGCTTTTTGTGTTAAAAACACTTGCTAATATGTAATAAGTAGTATATAATATTGTAACGAAACTAAAATTTTATATGTTGTTTAAATGAACCATGGCGAATTGAAATGTGGTTAGGGATGTATTATGACTACAATAAAAACTGTGGAATATTACTTTGTGTTTTATTGAACATTTAACCTCTTTATTAGTTTTAGAGATAGCGTAGTACTTGACCCAGTCCTTTACAACCACTGAAATTCGTAATGATAATAGATTTCCCCTACAACATTAGAGTAGGCTTGATCCTCGTTTTGAAGGGAGGCCCGTGCCCAGCAGTGGGACATTAAAAAGGGTTGAATACACTACATTAGAGTATAGAGCATCAGCTACTTACATAATGCTGAACAAAATGCGATGTTAAAGTAATCTATTTATGTACAACTGTTTCAATCCTAAAACTCGTATGTACGTAATGTTAGGTAGCCTACCTATCCTTCCTCAAGAATTGGACTATGAAAAATATGTTTTAAATCCCTTATCCAGTAGTAGTTCCATAGATTAGTGCGTTTTAATAAAACAATAAATAAACTCTTCAGATTTAATTTACATATATTAGTAAAGACAAAACAACTGCTTAATATTAAAATCATTCAGTCTAAGTTAATGGAAAAACCCTTTTATAGAGCCAACTTCCTAACTCCAGGCTACTTTCTTGACAGAAAGATTTTAACACTTGGCTTAATCCGGGACTCATACCCAGGACCTGTGGATATGCAGGAGGACATGCTAACCGCTAGATCACCGAAGCAGTAACTAAGTATATTTCTTTTATTTAACTAGTTAATTTAATAGAACCAATATACTTGAGTCCAGTTCTTGCCCGTTCCTATATACATTAAAGTAAAATTCTCTTTTTGATACACTATTATTCACATAAAAAAACATATCAGGGTATTATTATAAATGCCAAAATTTGTAGGTAGATAACTTGTATTGTGTAGTGTTGAAATGTTTTGTACTCCTTTCCACTGAAACGACTGCACGGGTTTGGATAACATTTAATTTACAAATACATAGACTTGTAAATAACAAGTAGGTTACTTAAAACCAAAAATAACACAATGGCCCATTAGATGTTCTTAGCGCTAGTTAGTGATCTCTTCCAGAAAGATTTCCTGGAAGAGGTAGAGGAACGTGCGGGTGAAGCTTTAGGCAAGAACTTGTCTAAAACGTATACATCAAAATTTACCTCAGCAAATATCTTTAATTTATCAATTACATACAAATTAACAATACAATTTCAGTTACAACAAATATGTTTCGATAGGCTTTAGTAATTAAATTCACAATAGGAATTCCAAGGCTATTAGGATCGCCTGTCTTACATTCCAGACGAAGATCTATCAAATACAAGAACATAAATATCTATAAAAATCTAACTAAACCAAATCTGTACATTAAATATTTTTTGGAAAATCTTATTAGTATTATTATTAGACATTATTATCGATACAGAGGCCGAATCTATAGTTTTTAGAATTTTTGTCTGTTTGTCACGGAAAAACCACTGGAGTGATTTTGATGAAATTTGGTATGTGATGGTAGCTGGTTATCCGGGTCAACATATAGGATACTTTTTACTGCGGGAAAATATCGCATCTTTGAGAAATCTATACGAAACGCTAAAACTTAATTAGAGACGAACCCGAGTCGAGCGAGGGTGAATCGCTAGTTCTTAATAAAAAAACAATCCATACTAATATTATAAATGTGAAAGTGTGTTTGTTTGATTGTCTTTCTTTCACGTCAAAACGGAGTGATTTTTTGTGTGGAGATAATTGGAGAGCTGGAAAGTGACATAGGCTACTATTTACAGCGGGAGATTATATAATTTCCACGGGAAAAGACGTTATAATACAATCTAAAAAAAGTTAATGATCAGAATCACTTTAAAACTTCCTATTAATGCTCTTCAATACAATTAAAGAAATAGGTGTTTTAGTATTTTTCAAAATTCGTCCCATAAGGGGGTAAAATAGGGGATGAAAGTTTGTATGAAACCTACCTTGTAGATTTAGCGCGAGCGAAGCCGCAGGTTCTGCTAGTTATGTATAAATATGTGTTTTTTACGTCTTCACGTTCTAACAGAACAAATTGATAAACATAATTTATCATTATATTGATAATTAATACTCTTATTACATTATTATATAGGTAATAATCTATACATACTCGTATAATTAAAGTGTAACTGATCGCAGTCTGTACATGGAAGTTATTTATTAGCGCAATAGAACATAAAACTGTTTATCTGTGCGTTTGTGCGCTCTAATCTCAGAAACAGCTTAACCGATTTGGGCGCGGTTTTCACTAATATATATGGTAAGCTTCACTTAACATTTAGTATTTGTTTTATTTCGATCGGTTATTAATTAAAAAACTTATGTTGATTTGTTTAGATAGTGATGATGATGTTCTCCCGGCCGATTCCGGCCACGGCGGCCAATCTCATTGAGACTAGCCAACTACGTAGAATTTATAGTGCACAAGTGTACGCGCAGACACAACGTGCACTCTCTATTCCTGTCACTCTCATACTCCGGTGGGACAACTACTCGACACGACCAGTGAGAGTTAAGGCGCAGGACCGACGGCTTTACGTGCTCTCCGAGGCACGGGGGTAAAACACCGCCAACTTCCCAACTCCGGGCTGTTACTGAGGCTTACTATACAGAAAGACTCAATAACTAAATTTGGCCCGACCCGGGACTCGAACCCAGGACCTCCGAGTGTGCAGCCGTACATGCTAGCCACTACACCACCAAGGCAGTTGAGCAGTAGATAGTAAAAACTATAAATAAATAAATAATTAATAGGAATAAAGCTTTTAAATTTTATATTTATTTAGATCCATGGAGCTGGGCTAAATAAGCTAAGCGCATAAAATGCACAAGTTTATTATGACATTAAAATTATGGGGATAAAAGTTATAAAAAAGTTCATAATAATTATTGAAGTTAAAAATTTGGAAATTGATACTAGGCCCAGACCTGTGTATTCAGCCATTTTAACGCCCCACTCTTGGGCACGGATCTCCCTTAAACACAAGGGGGATTAAGCCATAGCCCACCACGCTGGTCAAGTGTGGGTTATCGGACTTCACATTTGTTTCGAAAACTTGTTAGATTCACTCAGACATGCAGGTTTACTCGCGACGTTTTCCTTCACCGTAAGATAATTGGTAATTATGCTGAAAATGCAATAAAATTGCACATAAAATTATCAGAGGTCTGAGACACGGGATTTGAACCCGCTTAACATGATTTTCCAAGTGATTGCGTTACCACTGAGCTACCATTACCTTTGATATGTTATATATAGTATTATAATTGATATTATATAGAGTAATAAAGACTAAATACATAACTCTATCATAAAACATAATGTGGAAGAAATACTGTTTTACCCCATTTCAATTTGTATAAACAATATTTGCTTTTACAACTTTTTCATTGTTCCTTTTGTAGGTTTTATGGGCTTTTGAAATTATGATCAGCTGCGTTTACACTCGTAAAGCTTATATTATTGTTATTGCCAAATTTATGACAGAAATTATACGACACAAATATTTGATAGAGCCCTCCAAAAACTATTGAATATCGAGTTCTTTTGGTAAACAATTGATATATTATTAGTTACCAGGTTCACTACCTTGTGGTCTAGTGGCTAACATGTACTGCAGATTCAGTGGTCCTGGATTTGAGTCCCTGGTCGAGCCAAGATCAATTACTGAGTTTTTTTGGTAATATATTCTCAATAGTAGCACGGAGTTGGGAAGTTGGCGGTGTTCGACTCCCGTGCCCCGGAGAGCACGTAAAGCCGTGGGTCCTACGCCTTAACTCTCATCGGTCGTGTCGAAGTATCGTCCCATTGGACTTTGAGAGCAAAAGGAATAGAGAGTACACGTTATGTCTGCGTGCACACTTATGCACTAAAATATCTTCTAAGAATCTGGCTAGCCTCAATCAAATTGGCCACCGTGGCTAATATCGATCGAAAAAAAAAAGTTTTTTAATTCGAGTTGCTCGTTTGTTACGCAATCGAATTCGATAATTGTGAATCGATTTTCATGAAACTTGTAAGTAAATGCACCTCTAGTGGAATAAAAAATGTTGTAAATACAGTTATTAAATATGTAGGTACACTATAAAATGAAGAAAAATTATTATTATATACGGTGTTTCAAAGTGGTATGTCTTTTGCACAAAGAAAATTAAAGGGCCAATGACATAGACTTTAATTTCACTTACTTTTGACCAACTTAATAAAATAGGTGTTCAATTTGGTTATTTTCTTATTGAAACGATATCTTCGGTATATATAACGATACTATTATAATTGTACTGAAAAATATTAAACTATTTGAATATTGTTCATACAAAAATACTAAAACTGCGATTAAATAGTGGAGAGTGGTGGTACGAGGGTGAAAAATACGTTACGACCTATTCTCATATCTACTAAATATACAAAAAAATCATAAAAATCGGTCGAGCCGTTTCGGAGGAGTGCGACCACAAACACGAGATACGAGATATTTATATATTGGAAGATATGTATATGTACCTTTTTATAATTTTCACCAAAATATTCTTATTCTATACTAATGTAATAGAATATACGAATATATAGAATAAGAAAATTTTGCTGCAAAATGCGAATTTAATTCTCGCACAGAGTATAAAAGTTTGACCAGTTCAAAGTAAATAGAATGTTAGAAATCCCTCGTCTTGCACTACTTGAAAACTAGGCAAGCTGCCGTTAGTTTGTAAGAAGTTCTATAATTTTCTATATCAACCTTTTTGCTGTATATGATAAATTTAATTTCAATAATTATCTCTTTTTTTATAAATAGGTGAGGACGAAACAGTTAAGTATCTTTTTCTCCTCTGGTTTTCAGCCTCTTCACTTTTTTTATCAACGACCTTTTTTAGTGTTACCATTTAAAAAATGAGAAACGAAGCTTACCCCGAATCTACTATATCTATATATATTATATATTTTATTATATTAAAATTGTAACTAAGCCGAATCTGTACATTAAATATTTTTTGAATCTTAAATATAAATATATGAAATAATCTTATTGAAATAGACATTATTATCGATACAGAGACCGAATCTATATGTTTTAGAACTTTTGTCTATCTGTCTAGTTGGTAACGTATCACAAGAAATTCACTGGACAGTGGACAGGTACGATGATAGCTGGTCAACATATAGAATACATTTTACTGCGGATAAATATTTCGTCTCTGAGAAATCTATATACCTACCTACTAAACGTTAAAATATAACTAGGGACGAATCCGAACGGAGCAAGGGTAAGTCAACAGTTTTCAATAAGATTAAGGTTTTTGACCATTAGCGGAACAATACTAATTTAAAAACTACAAATGTATACCATACTCATACCATCATACCACTCGAAATAAATGCCTTTCTTTAACACCAAATATCATATCTCATATGAAAAATCGTGCATTATTATATCAAAACGATAAGAATATTCAAAAAATCACATATTTCAATTTGAATCAGAACCACGCCTTCCAATTTACAATCTCCGTTTACCCTCGCTTTAATATAATACAAAAATTTAACAAGCTTACGAAAGGCCTTTGAGAATTTCGCTGAGAAAATAAAACATAATACATTGAGACGAAAGAGTGTTTCGTGTAATTTGTATTCTACATTTTACTTCTTGAAATGATTTCATTATATAAAATGATAATCTTGTAATGAAGCTTGTAACTGTTATAAAGAGGGTTAGGACCATTTGGTTTTTATAAAGTCTTTACAAACGTATTCACTATTGTAAGGTTGCATTTTTATATATTGAGCGTTTTAATGGAAAATAATATATTTGATTAATTTGTAACGATTTATATATAAGGCATTTAGTTATGTGACCTTGGCCGATAGGAATGTGTTTTAAAAAAATAAAAAAAGGGTGCAGATACTCATTTGTTTTCCCGCGCTTTTGCACAGAGATGTCGGTACCACCCTGTAATGACGCCACGAATTGTTTGTAATACTGAAAATTATGATTATAAATTATGTAACTCACTGACGATTATAAAAGTACTGAATATAAGAATATAAGCAAGGAATATCTCGAAGTTTTATTAGAAATCCTACACTATGCGGGTTTTCTACTAAAGTTTAAATTGACCTTTCCTTGGAGAGTAAAATCTACGTATAAATATGCAAAGACAAAACAGTTCAGTACCTTTTTCTCCTCTTGTTCCCGTTTGTCAACCGATATTCCTTTTTTTTTTGTTTAGTAGCTATGAACGAGAATAAGTGTTATGAATAATATAATTTTGGTAACAGATTTTTTATATATGTAGTATGTAGATACTATAGTATTATGTGATCTCAACTGCCTCGGTGGTGTAGTGGCTAGCATGTATGGCTGCACACTCGGAGTTCCTTGGTTCGAGCCCCGGGTCGGGCGAAATTTAGTTAATTGAGTCTTTCAGTATAGTAAGCCTCAGTAACAGTCCAGAGTTGGGAAGTTGGCGGTGTTTCACCCCCGTGCCTCGGAGAGCACGTAAAGCCGTCGGTCTTGCGCCTTAACTATCACTGGTCGTGTCGAGTGGTCGTCCCACCGGAGTATGAGAGTGACAGGAATAGAGAATGCACTTATGTCTGCGCGTACACTTGTGCACTATAATATCTCCTGCGCAGTTGGCTAGTCTCGATGAGATTGGCCGCCGTGGCCGGAATCGATCAGGAGAACATCATCATTATGTGATCTGTGGTAGATCTGTAAATTTATACTAATATTATAATGAGGTAAAGCTTGTTTGAACGCGCCCATCTCAGGAGCTACTAATCCGATATGAAAAATTCTTTTTGCATTAGATGGCCTGTTTGTTGAGGAAGGCTATAAGGAAGGAAGGGTAGGAAAGTAGGAAGGCTATACATATATCATATAATATATAATCTATCTAAACTAAGTATTAAAACGCACATAGGGACTCAAGCCTAAGTGAGGGCGAGTCGCTAGTTATTATATAAATACTTACACCCTACGCCTACACACAAATTAATAAAAATCTAGCTAAAGTAAGTTAGCAACTTTTATTACGTTTGGTAGACTAATGAAAAAAGTTGCTTGAGGCTTGCATTCGTATCAACCCGTAAATAATTAATTCTGACTATATATTATATATTTATTCACATTGAGATATTTTCCCTTTCATCTTGAGTCTTGACTGAGAAAGCGTATGTAATGAAACCTTATTATAATTAATATTAATGTGTTTTGTTAATGTAATAGGTTTGTGTATAGTAAATACAGGATCTACGTTATTTTTGTGAACAGATAATTTAAGCGATATTTTAACATAATAATCAATACTAAAATATCACCATAACATATTGTAGTGTAAAAACACTGCTGTTAGATAACATATAATAAAATTCTGAGTCGAATCTGTACATTGAATATTTTTTGGAAATCTTATTGAAATAGTCTTTATTATCAATATAGAATCTATAGTTTTTGATAATATTATAAAAAAAATTAATTATCTACAAAGATACTATCAACACAGCTAAAACAAGGAATTACATTTTATGAACGTAATCACTAGTATTGGTTTGTACTTAA